CAATCTTATTTAGATGTGGGCTTTCCTTTTTGAAGGCTGCATAACCTGATGCCAATATAACTAGAAAAAGGTAAGGGAAGTGAAAAAAGTAAAAAGAAAGGGGGGAAATGCTTCAGGACCTCTCACCACCCTCCCTTGCCCCCATGCATTTTGTTTTTCAGTCACCCCCTACGCCCGAGTTTTGGATTGCCCAGACAGATGATAATGCTTTTCTACATTAGTCTCAACTGACAGATGATTACCTGGAAAGTGAGGGTACAGCTGCATGGATTGCCCAGACAGATCTCCTGACCTTTACCTTACACAGCAAGTCCTGAAACGTTCCTAAGAGGGCAGTTTCATCTTGAATCATCTGAGAATCATCCCAGAGTTGGAAACTGCCTTGCTGCAGGAGTGGGATCAACTGCCTCCAGTCTGGTATGCCATCAGGCACCATAACCTGTCTAGCTGTAAGTTCAGATCATACCCCATCAATTCGACATCACAACGTCGATCTTGGACATCCCTGTACTTACTGATAACCATGCATACATAAAATGACTTTTGTATGGTACATCCCATTCTCTGTTTTAAACGTAATACACCAAATTTAATTAAAATCTATCCATTAATTTTTCAGATATTTGAATCTCCTAATTTTTCACATGAGTGTACATTTTTAGCTATATGACACATTACATTGTAGTTCTGGAAGATGTCATCAATCCCAAGGGGGGGAATCAGCATATAATGGGTGCATGTGGTCTGCAAGGATCACTGTATCTCTAGTGTCATCCACAGTGTGAACTGAATCTAAAGAATATTATACAAACATTCCCCAGACCATTACATTACATTCACTAACTAGTATTTGTCCATAAATAGTTGATCGATATTTGTTCTCCTGTGTTCCTTACCTTATGCACTCATGTCATCCATCTGATAATGCAAACTGTGATTTATCAGAGAAAGTTACTTTCTGCCTATCGCAGAAGTCTACAGTTGATACTACCACATAAACTCCAGCATCTTCCATTGATGAAGTACTGTTAGAGCATGTATAATCACTATCATTTGCTGCAGAACACCATACACAACAAATAATGATAATCCTCCAGTTCGTTTAACCCTTTGACGTGCAGTGGTCGCACCCTGAAACCACCAATTTTCGAATTTTTTTTCTCCTCTTCTTTTCTGAAATTTTTAATGAAAATCAATTGATTAGCTGATCATCTTTTACTAACTAATACAAAATGACTGCAGAATCCTCAACATGTTTTAGGTCTTAGTACTTCAAATCAGAATGCCTTTTTTAATATTAATTTTCAATGGACAATTACTTCCTTTTATTAATATAAACAACTTTAAATAAACTTTAAATTTCAGAGTTATTCATCGCAATCATTATTTCTATCATAAACAATACAAAACTTTCAATAATTAAAGCTGCATATATAAAAACCCCTTATAATTATGGTATTTTGCTTTGTGGTTTCGGGCTCAACCACTGCACCACTAAGCAGGTGGTGTCACAATTCTTCACAATCCTCTATTGGCTCCGGTGGTCCCCCTTGAAACTACTTGCTCTTCATATGGGTTTTTGCTTTTCAAATAGGAATTTATTTTACGGGATATAGAAAGGGATTGAAACACAGAGTATTATTACTAATATACATGCACTGCCCATAAAAAGGTTTTTATTTCCAAAGACTTTTCTCTGACTCAACCCACTGCTCCCGACTAGTTGTAATTTTAAAATTATTTGGTGGTTTAAATTTAATGTAAATATATTTTGCTATGATTAAAAATAGAAATTGTGCAAAGTTTTATTTCAATCAAAAATATTTTCTGAATATACTTTGCTATGATTAAAAATAAAAATCGTGTAGCATTTTATTTAAATTAAAAATACTTTCTGAATATTTTGGGACAAAATATGAATAAAATAAGTGTGAATGGGAAACGAATGATTGTACCAAAGGCAAAAAGACCAAGCCTTGCCCTCCCCCCATTAACATAAAAAAACCACAAGTTTCATGTGCCAGATGAAAAGATACTAAATAACGCTGGACTTATTACCAGTGAAAACCTCACAGAACTAGATACATGTGCGAAACGTGCAATGTGTGTCTATGCATGCACCAAAAAGACAAAACATGAATAGAACTCTGCAATAAATCAGTACACAGTTTTTTGATATTTTAGCTCTCAAGAACTACCAATTTAGTTACGATACTATAATTTTTTTTTTTTTTTTTTTTTTTTTTTTTTGTTTTTTTATATGACGGCTCAAATCTCCTTCAATTATACCCCAAATCTAAAGAACAAGAAAAAAGCTACCATTTTCTTTCTTGACATCAATAGCGTGAATTCTCGCGGAAGGAATTAACTTTCAAAAATTAACAAACGCAAAAATAGTAATCAAAAAAGTCAAAAAAAAATCAATCTATATCCAGGATAATTTAATATATATAAATGCATCTCTATCTGTATTTTTCCGATATTACTAAAAATGAAGATAGAAGCTGTTTTTCATGGCATAGCGGCATATGGAATCTGGCGCAAATCCCTTGGCCCCCCCCCCCCCAAAAAAAACACAGTAATAGGATAGACACATTCGTTCAGAACTATGCAATATATCCCTGCTGAATCTGCCATCAAACTCTAAATTCTTAAGATAATCACTACCCACTCAGTAGATGGATCGAAATGTTCCGTGTGGCGTAAAATCCGACATCGATGTCTAGCTTGTTTAAAAAGTATTATTTGCTTATTATTATGTTTTAAAAAGTACAATTTTTTATACAATTAAAAGTCTAATAATATCAATAATATAATACATTAGACAATTAATTACTATGTATACATTTTTCTTGCCTTCGATGAAGCCAATTTATCAATCACTTCATCAAAGTCGATCATTTCAAATTTTTCTCTTTTCACATTTAAAAATGGTAGATGACTTAGGGAATCTTGTCCCATCGTTGATTGTAAATATGACAAAATTTATTTTTATTTGCTGAATGAACGTTCATTCATTTGATAATGAAATAGTAAGGAGTATTTGAAATGCAACTCAGGTTTAGGAAAACATTTTTTCCATAGATCTGTAATGGAGTTTCAGGTTCAGTTTAATTTCTACTGCGGAGTAACATCTTGCAGTCACATTCACTACTCAAAACAATTAGGGGATATTGTGAGTTCGGTATGAAATAACCATCTAATCGACAATCTTTTGAACAAAAGGAAATAAAAGACATTTTAAAGGAAAATTATAATGTTTACAAAGTTGGAAATATGTAAATTTAGTCTGAAACGTCGAAAACTGTGCGTTTTAGATAGGGTGTAAGAAGCAACCTGCAGTATTCCTTTTGTTCCTTTTGTAGTAGGAGATTAAAAACAATTGACATGCGTTGAATGCTGTGCTTGAATATAGTCTCGGCAAGATGATTAGTTGAATCGGTAGCCAAAAGCATACAGCAAGTCAACGAACATGTAGGGGAAGCACGAGTTTCCCCAAAATGCATTCCAGACTATGGATAGGTTTTGAAACTGGAATGTTTGGGAATTCGGGGACACGTCTGTATCGTTTAAAAAAAACGGGAGCTAACCTGCATTTCGTTAAAAAATAAAGATATAATCTATTTTCGGAATAAAGGGAACAGAAAGAACGTGTGAGTGGGATATTTGGTTGATGTACGCAAACATTTATTACACTTTATCAGCCAATCAGAAATAAATATGAATTAATTAAATTATTAATTTAACATAGTCTTAGAATCCACAAAATAAAAACTAAATTTTTATGGAAAGTTCTGGTTTGCCCGAACCTGCGGGGGCTAGACACTGCCGGCCCAAATTGAGGCTCTAGTGGGTCGGGTAAACCTGTGTCGCAGCCATGAACGGAATTTCCACATTTTATTCTTTGTGACTATGCCTCTGTGACATTTACGTCGCCGTCTGAACGTAGCCTTACGAACCCGTGTGCACACAACAACAGTGGCGTAGTGAGGGGGGCTAAGGGGTGTATGATGCCCAGAGGGGCACCAAATGGTCTCCAAACAAGATTTTCCATAAAATTTCAGTTTTTATTTTGATGGATTTCTAAGAAATATATTTAAAATTAATAATTGTAATATAATTCATTATTTATTTTCTTGATTTGTCTGATAAAATGTGTAATAAAATGTTTGCAGTACATCAACCAAATATCCCCACATACAAAACGTTCTTTCTGTTCCCTTTATTTCTCTAAAATAGATATATATCTTTATTTTTTTAAACGAAATGCATGTATAGCTCCCGCTTTTTATTTTAAACTGATAACACGACCTTGTCCCGAATTTCCCAAACATTTCCAGTTTCCAAAACCTACTCCATAGTCTGGAAATGACATTTTGGGAAACTTCTGATGCTTCCACTACAATGGCTTGCGTTTGACTCTGCTGTATGGTCTTTCTGGCTACCGATTCAACTAAGTCATCTTGCCGAGACATATATTCACTGCTACAAAGCATTCAACGCATGTCAATTGTTTTTAATCTCCTACTACAAAAGGAACAAAAGGAATACTGCAGGTTGCTTCTTACACCCTATCTAAAACGCACAGTTTTCGACGTTTCAGACTAAATTTACATATTTCCAACTTTGTAAACATTATAATTTTCCTTTAAAATGTCTTTTATTTCCTTTTGTTCAAAAGATTGTCGATTAGATGGTTATTTCATACCGAACTCACAATATCCCCTAATTGTTTTGAGTAGTGAATGTGACTGCAAGATTTACTCCGCAGTAGAAATTAAACTGAACCTGAAACTCCATTACAGATCTATGGAAAAAAATTTTTCCTAAACCTGAGTTGCATTTCAAATACTCCTTACTATTTCATTATCAAATGAATGAACGTTCATTCAGCAAATAAAAATAAATTTTGTCATATTTACAATCAACGATGGGACAAATTCCCTAAGTCATCTACCATTTTAAATGTGAAAGAGAAAAATTTGAAATGATCGACTTTGAGGAAGTGATTGATAAATTGGCTTCATCGAAGGCAAGAAAAATTATACATAGTAATTAATTGTATTAATGTATTATAATATTATATTATTATTAATAAATATATGTACTTATCTATAATATATATTAAACTTTTAATTGTTTAAAAATTGTACTTTTTTAAAAACAGTTATATAAATAAGCAAAATAAATAATACTTTTTAAACTAATGCTATAACATCGTATGTCGGATTTTTCCGCCGACACGGATACATTTCCGAATCCAATGCTACTGTAGTTGGGTAGTGTTTATTCTTAATACATTTTAGAGTATTGTATGGCAGATTCAGCATTTTATTATTATTTGCATTATTTTCTTATAACGAATGTGTTCTATACATTATATTACTGTGTTTTTTTTGGGGGGGGGGTTGCCAAAAAGGTATTTTGCGCAGAGTTCCAGTTATGCTCGCTATGCCATTGCACAACAATGCTTTCCTATCTTTCCCATTTTTTCTTATTAATGATCGGGAAAATGACAGATAGAGATGCTATTTATAATATATTAAATTATCCATGAGATATTAAGATTGATTTATTTTTAATTTGACTTATTTATGCATTACTTATTTTTGCTTTTAGTATAATTCCTTGAAAGTTCCTTATCCAGCTGATAAACTTACACCCGCTATTGATGATCAAGAAAAGAAACTGGTAAGCTTTTTTCCTTGTTCTTTTAGATTTTTGTGTATAATTACTGAAGGAGCTTTGAGCAGTCATTATTAAAAAAAAAAAAAAAAAAAAAAAAAAAAAAAAAAAATTATAGTATCGTAACTAAATTGGTAGTTCTTGAGAGCTAAAATATCAAAAAACTGTGTACTGATTTATTGCAGAGTTCTATTCATGTTTTGTCTTTTTGGTGCATGCATAGACACACATTGCACGTTTCGCACATGTATCTAGTTCTGTGAGGTTTTCACTGGTAATAAGTCCAGCGTTATTTAGTATCTTTTCATCTGGCACATGAAACTTGTGGTTTTTTTATGTTAATGGGGGAGGGCAAGGCTTGGTCTTTTTGCCTTTGGTACAATCATTCGTTTCCCATTCACACTTATTTTATTCATATTTTGTCCCAAAATATTCAGAAAGTATTTTTAATTTAAATAAAATGCTACACGATTTTTATTTTTAATCATAGCAAAGTATATTCAGAAAATATTTTTGATTGAAATAAAACTTTGCACAATTTCTATTTTTAATCATAGCAAAATATATTTACATTAAATTTAAACCACATGAAATAATTTATAAAATTACAATACTAGCTCGGGGAGCAAGTGTGTTGAGGTCAGAGAAAAGTCTTTGGAAAAGAAAAACCTTTTTACTGGGCAGGTGCATGTATTATTTAGTAATAAAATAACTCTGTGGTTTCAAAGCCCCTTATCTATATCCAGGTAAAAATAAACATTCCTATTTGAAAAGCAAGCAAACGCCATTATGAAGAGCAGTAGTTTCAAGGTGCGACCACCGAGCCACTAGAGGATTGTGAGCATTGTGACACAATGCTCTAGTGGTGCAGTGGTTGCGCCCTGAAACCACAAAGCAAATACCATACATATAAAGGGGTTTTTTATATATGCAGTTTAATTATTGAAATTTTGTATTGTTTATGATAGAAATCATGATGTGCGATGAATAACTTCTGAAATTTAAAGTTGTTTATATTAATAAAAGGAAGTTATATTGTCCCATTGAAAATTAATATTAAAAGGCATCTGATTTGAAGTACTAAGACCTAAAACATGTATGATTCTGCAGTCATTTTGTATTATTTAGAGGTAAAAGATCAGTAATCAATTGATTTTCATTAAAAAATTTCAGAAAGAAGAGGGAGAAAAAAAATTCGAAAATTGGTGGTTTCAGGGTGCGACCACTGCACGTCAAAGGGTTAAACGAACTGGAGGATTATCATTATTTGTTGTGTATGGTGTTCTGCAGCAAATGATAGTGATTATACATGCTCTAACAGTACTTCATCAATGGAAGATGCTGGAGTTTATGTGGTAGTATCAACTGTAGACTTCTGCGATAGGCAGAAAAGTAACTTCTCTGATAAATCACAGTTTGCATTATCAGATGGATGACATGAGTGCATAAGGTAAGGAACACAGGAGAACAAATATCGATCAACTATTTATGGACAAATACTAGTTAGTGAATGTAATGTAATGGTCTGGGGAATGTTTGTATAATATTCTTTAGATTCAGTTTCACACTGTGGATGACACTAGAGATACAGTTGATCCTTGCAGACCACATGCACCCATTATATGCTGATTCCCCCCTTGGGATTGATGACATCTTCCAGAACTACAATGTAATGTGTCATATAGCTAAAAATGTACACTCATGTGAAAAATTAGGAGATTCAAATATCTGAAAAATTAATGGATAGATTTTAATTAATTTTTGGTGTATTACGTTTAAAACAGAGAATGGGATGTACCATACAAAGTCATTTTATGTATGCATGGTTATCAGTAAGTACAGGGATTCCAAGATCGACGTTGTGATGTCGAATTGATGGGGTATGATCTGAACTTACAGCTAGACAGGTTATGGTGCCTGATGGCATACCAGACTGGAGCAGTTGATCCCACTCCTGGCAGCAAGGCAGTTTCCAACTCTGGGATGATTCTCAGATGATTCAAGATGAAACTGCCCTCTTAGGAACGTTTCAGGACTTGCTGTGTAAGGTAAAGGTCAGGAGATCTGTCTGGGCAATCCATGCAGCTGTACCCTCACTTTCCAGGTAATCATCTGTCAGTTGAGACTAATGTAGAAAAGCATTATCATCTGTCTGGGCAATCCAAAACTCGGGCGTAGGGGGTGACTGAAAAACAAAATGCATGGGGGCAAGGGAGGGTGGTGAGAGGTCCTGAAGCATTTCCCCCCTTTCTTTTTACTTTTTTCACTTCCCTTTACCTTTTTCTAGTTATATTGGCATCAGGTTTATGCAGCCTTCAAAAAGGAAAGCCCACATCTAAATAAGATTGTCAGATGTCAACTTCTATTTAAGCCTAAATGAACTATTTTTTAATATAAATTATATTTAATTGATAAATTATTTTAAAATAAAAGCATTTTGTGATATATTAAAAAAACTTTGAAGTTGCAAAAAGTAGCATAAGAAAATCATTGATGTCGCAAAAATTTCGCAAATACTTAAATTTTAGTAGCACAAGTTCATCACAAATTTATGCAAAAACGCATGATCTGGCAACACTGATTCAACCTACTAAAATGATGCTGTGGTTCAGTAATGTATTCTGTGAAGATCAAGGGCAAAATTTTCCTAACTTGCTAATGCCATCTGGATGACCTCTATCACATTCCATCGAGGTAGCTAACAGTTTGTGAAGTCACTTAATTTCCTGTGTTTAAGTATTCTATTTAAGGAGGTATTGCAACTGTAGGCTATAAAACTTTGGAGTCTGTAGTCCATAAAACTCAGGACTGTAGAAGTCCCGTGTCGCCACACTGAAAGTGCCAAATAATGATCATCATTGTGGATTTTAATTGTGTCATTGTGTCAATTCATTGTATCATTGTGGATCTTAATTGACCTTGTCCAGGTCTTCTCGATATGGTCCAGTGTCCTGAAAGCGTTTCCACAAATTGCAGACAACATTGAGCACTGTATTCACCTGTGATTGTGGTTGTCCCGCCTCCAATCTCTCAACAATTTTCCATCTCATTCTGTCATCCATATGTTTGTGGCTACTCATAAAATGATAACTCTTAAAATTTACCCGACTCTTCTGAGAAATACGGTGAATGTGGTTAAGAAATACAAGCACAGAAACAGCTCAAAACCTCTCGTATCTCTTCCGCTATCATAGCTTGGCAGACAATCATGTGTACGTTTATGCGTTTAATTATGATTATCTGCATAATTCTTTGGCAGCATGCTTCAGTACTTTTCGTAAAAATAGACATAATTGGCAAATTCTCATGATTTTGCACACGAGTGTACATAAGTAGTTGGAAGTGCACAAGGTAGAAATTTTTAAAAACGTGTCAAGCAGTGGGTGATTCTGCACTTTACTGCAGACTTTTCGTCATGGGCAATTCCTAAATTGTTAAATCCATAGGATATCAAAAACAGATTTAAAAATTATACAATATTTCAATGAAAATTAAACTTATATATAGTTATTATAGTCTTAACAAATATAGAACTATACACTGGTGTGCAAAAATTAAGGACGAAGTCGAAAAATTAGCATATCAGCTGAATGAAGAGGCAGAGTGGACAGAAAGACCAATCAGGAGATTAAGTAAGGTGATGTACGGTAGCACATGCGCAGATATGCAGGTAGACGTAATGGGGGTGTCTCTGAGTAGTATACAGCATGTTGTCGATGTAAGATCAGTATTTCTGGCAAAGAGATTGCACGCCGTATAGCAGTTAAAATCACACCGAGTTGCTGCCTCAGCGAGAAATGGCGAATAATCAATCTGTTAGAGGACATCTGGATGCTTTTATCCGAGGTCAAATCATTGGGAAGTTGGAGGAAGGCCGCAGTGTGACAAGTGTGGCTGCAGAGTTCGGAATTGCTCACAGCATCGTTTCACGACTTTGGAGACAATTTCAACCTACAGGAACAGCTATCCGGGGGTTTAGTAGTGGTCATCCACGACGAACACACCCGCAGATGACTGGTATATTGTCTTACAGGCCAGAAGAAATAGGCGGCAGACAGTGGGAGAAATCGCTAGACACACAACACAGGTGACTGGACAACCGATATCGCGTTTTACCGTGGCCAGAAGACTGCACGGTGGTGGTCTGTTTGCAAGACGCCCTGTACGGTGTGTACCTCTAACGCCTGCCCATCGGAGAAGGCGTTCTCTGTGGTGCTGGGAACACCGGAATTCGAGAGACAATGAATGGGGACGAGTACTCTTTACAGATGAGAGCAGATTCAGTCTGAGTAGCGATTCTCATCGCATACTCATCTGGAGAGAGCGGGGAAGCCTCTCGATCATCCCTCGAACATCATTGAAAGGGACAGGTATAGAGGTGGCGGTGTTCTCGTTTGGGAAGGCATCATGCTTGGTAGTCGTACAGACCTTCACGTCTTCGACGCAGGTTCAATCAACGGGACCCATTATTGTAACGAGATTCTTCTTCCACATGTGCGTCTTTTTAGAGGCGCTATTCCGCAGTTCCTTTTCATGGACGACAATGCACTATGTCATCGCACAGTAGCTACCGAACAGCTCTTTAGAGAGTGAGGATATTGAACGTATGGATTGGCCGGCACGATCTCCGGATCTCAGTCCCATCGAGCATGTATGGGATTTTCTAGGCAGACGCTTGGCAGCTCGTACCTTACCACCAGTAATGATTCTGGAGCTTCAATTGGCGCTGCAAGACGAATGAGCAGCAATGCCTCAACAACTCATTGACACCCTCATTCTCAGCATGGGCAGACACTGTGAAGCCTGCCTAGCAGTCAGGGGAGATCATATCCCCTATTAAAGACCGGATGTTTATTGCTGGACACCCATCACAGGGATGTTTCGGCCTTCAGTCGCATCGCGCTCCATGCTACTTTTTCAATAAAGCTTCTTTTTATCCCTCTGATTTCTCTTTTAGTAAGTGTTGCTTACATTACTCATGTCCTTACGTATTGGGGATCTTTACG